GCAAAGAGTCTAACCTTACCTTTGACACTATCTGGGAGGTCATTTAAGAAAGGAAAAGGCAGGGACCTAATACCGAGCCTTGGGGGACACCTGAGAGAACTGGTAGTATTCCTGATTTTTGACCTTCAACTACAACTTGCTGGGAGTGTGACTTAAGGAAGGAATGGACCCAATTTGTAACCTCATAACTTATACCCAATCTTTCTAGTTTACTCACAAGTTTGTGATGGTCCACCTTATCAAATGCCTTACTGAAATCCATGACTATGACATCAGTTTGTTGGCCACTTTCAAGATTGTCATGAATTTCCTGGGAGAAGCTTACTAGCTGGGACTCACAACTCCGTTTTGACCTGAAGCCATGTTGATAGGGGCTAAGGATGTTGTGTTTATCATAAAAGGACATAATATTGGACACTAAGATGTGCTCCATCAATTTGGACGCTATGCATGTGAGGGAAATTGGTATTTCTGTATATGCTGGCAAAGTAGATCAAGTGAACATTTAGATGGATCAATAATATATTGGTTATAGGTAAGGTGGTTCGGCAATCTCCTGGATTAGACCCCTATGTATTTTTATGCCACCGCAGCATTTGCGATGCGGTGGCATATAGCGATTCACCTGTGTGTAAGTGTGTGTGTGTGTGTGTGTGTGTTTGTGTGTGTGTTATAAGGATTATATAGTGAACTTAAAAAATCTTCTTGTGAAAAACCACTAGTCCAATTTCAACCAAACTTGGCAGGATTGTTCCTTGGGTGAAGGGCTTCCAAAGTTGTTCAAAGAATTTCATTCCATGCAGAAATCTGGTTGCCATGGCAACCAAAAGGAATAATAAGAATAAATTTAAAAAATCTTCTTGTAAAGACCCAAAAGGCCTAGAGCTTAGATATTTTGCATAAGGCATTGTCTGGTAGACCTCTAACAAGATTGTTCAAATTATAGCCCTGGGGTCAAAATTGGCCCCGCCCCGGGGGTCATTGATTTTCACTATCTACATATAGTAAAAAATTAAAATACCTTCTTGTAAAAACCCAAAAGGCCTAGAGCTTAGATATTTTGCAAAAGGCATCATCTGGTAGACCCTTACCAAGATTGTTCAAATTATAGCCCTTGGGTCAAAATCGGCCCCGCCCCGGGGTCATTGATTTTCGCTATATGTACATATAGTAAAAACTTAAAACACCTTCTTGTAAAGACCCAAAAGGCTAAGAGCTTAGATATTTTGCATAAGGCATTGTCTTGTAGACCTCTACCCAGATTGTTCAAATTATAGCCCTGGGGTCAAAATCCGCCCGCCCCAGGGGTCATTGGTTTTCCTTATATGTATATAGGAAAAACTTTTAAAAAATTCTTCTAGCAATTGACAAATGCTAAAGGTTAGATATTTTGCATGAAACATTGTGTTGTAAAACTCTAGCAAGATTGTTCAAATTATAGCCCTGGGGTCAAAATTGCCCCCGCCCTGGGGGTCATTGATTTCAATATATATATACATATAGTAAAAAATAAAAAAATCTTATTGTCTGAAGGTACAAGGCTTAGAGCTTTAATATTTGTAAAAGTATATCATCTAAAGGTACTCTACCAAAGTTGTTCAAATTTGGCCTCTTGTGTCAAAATTAGCCCCGCTCCTGGGAGCCATAGGTTTATCCTATATGTATATAGTTAAAACTTAAAAAATCATCTTCTCTAAATTTACAAAGGATAAAGTTAAGATATTTTGCGTAAAACATTGTGTAGTGAACCTCTAGCAAGATTGTTCAAATTATAGCCCTGGGGTCAAAATTGGTTCCGCCCCGGGGGTCATTGATTTTCATTATGTACATATAGTGAAAAAAAATTTTTTATCTGAAGGTTCAAGGCATAGAGCTTTGATGTTTGATATATAATATCATCTATAGGTCCTCTACCAAAGTTGTTCAAATGTCAAAAATTGGCCCTGCCCGGGGGCAGTGATTCTCATTATGTACACGTAGTAAAAACAGAAAATAAAACAAATGTTTTCTGAATGGGAGAAAGCTATAGCTTAGATATTTGACTTAAAATGTTGTTTGGTGGACCTGTATCAAGATTGTTATTAAACCCTTGGGTCAAAATTATGCATTGCCCAAGGGGACAGTGACCTACTTTCTTGTCCTTTGATGTACAGCAATGACATTTTGACCATGTGCACAGTTTTAGTTGTAAAATTGAACTTTGACCTAGATTTTGATGATGTGACCTACTTTCTTGTCCTTTGATGTACAGCTATAAAATTTGAACCATGTGGTGGCATAGCATTTTTCTCAAATGCAATCTTGTTCAGAAGTAAAACCTGTATGTAATACACGAAGGACCTTAAATATATATACTCCTGGGATTCCATTGGTTAGCATGGTTCTATTTCGTACATTTGTAAGAATGTTAGGGACTAACCAGAAAAGAAAACCTTGAATCTTTCAACACAGTACCATGTACACAACAAGTTTAATGATAACTTCTATTTGTGGTTATTTTTAGCTCACCTGTCACAAAGTGACAGGGTGAGCTTTTGTGATCGCTTTTCGTCCGGCGTCCGTCCGGCGTCCGTCCATCCGTAAACTTTTACTTTAAATGACATCTCCTCATAAACCACTAAGCCAATTTCATCCAAACTTCACAGGAATGTTACTTTGGTGGTCACCTTTAAAAATTGTTCAAAGAATTTAATTCCATGCAGAACTCTGGTTGCCATGGCAACTGAAAGAAAAAACTTTAAATATCTTCTTTTAAAAAACCATAAGAGCTAGAGCTTAGATATTTGGCATGAAACATCTTCTAATGAGTGTCTACCAAGTTTGTTCAAATAAATGCCCTGGGGTCAAAATTGGCTCCGCCCCGGGGTATCATTGATTTTCCCTATATGCATATAGTAAAAACTTAAAAAATCTTCTTTTAAAGAACCCAAAGAGCTAGAGCTAAGATATTTAGCATGAAACATGTTCTAATGGGTGTCTACCAAGTTTGTTCAAATAAAAGCCCTGGGGTCAAAATATGCCCCGCCCCGGGGGGTCATTGATTTTCCCTATATGCATATAGTAAAACTTTAAAAAATCTTCTTTTAAAGAACTCAAAGAGCTATGGCTAAGATATTGAGCATCAAACATGTTCTAATAGGTGTCTACCAAGTTTGTTCAAATAAAAGCCCTGGGGTCAAAATTGGCCCGCCCCGGGGGTCATTGATTTTCCCTATATGCATATAGTAAAAACTTAAAAAATCTTCTTTTAAAGAACTCAAAGAGCTATGGCTGAGATATTTGGCATCAAACATGTTCTAATAGGTGTCTACCAAGTTTGTTCAAATAAAAGCCCTGGGGTCAAAATTGGCACCGCCCGGGGGGTCATTGATTTTCCTTATATGTGTATAGCAAAAACTTAAAAAATCTTCTTTGAAAAAACCCAAATAGCTAGAGTTAAGATATTAAGCATGAAACATCTTTTAGTGAGTGTCTACAAAGTTTGTTCAAATAAAAGACCTGGGGTCAAAATTGGCCCCGCCCCGGGGGTCATTGATTTTCCTTATATGTGTATAGCAAAAACTTAAAAAATCTTCTTTGAAAAAACCCAAATAGCTAGAGTTAAGATATTAAGCATGAAACATCTTTTAGTGAGTGTCTACAAAGTTTGTTCAAATAAAAGACCTGGGGTCAAAATTGGCCCCGCCCCGGGGGTCATTGATTTTCTTTATATGTGTATAGCAAAATCTTAAAATCTTCTTTGAAAAACCCAAATAGCTAGAGTTTAGATATTAAGCATGAAACATCTTCTAGTAAGTGTCTACAAAGTTTGTTCAAATAAAAGCCCTGTGGTCAAAACTGGCCCGGCCCCAGGGGTGTCATTGTTTTTAACTATATGTGTATAGTGTAACTTAAAAAAAATCTTCTTTTAAAGAGCCCAATGAGCTAGAGCTTAGATGTTTAGCATGAAACATCTTCTTATAGGTGTCTACCAAGTTTGTGCAAATAAAAGCCCTTGGGTTAAATTGGCCCTGCAATGTTGGAGGGGGGGGGGTTGGGGGGGGGGCCTATATACAGGTGAGCGACCTCAGGGCCATCATGGCCCTCTTGTTGTAAATTAGTATTGACAAATTATTTAAAAACCGTGCTTGTATTTTTAAAAATGAAATGCACAAATGGTTAAAAACCTACACAGTATGTGTACAGGTATATAAACTTGATGTGTGATACCTCCCTTTACGAAATTCATTTATAAGTAACTTATCTATTTATCTTCCATATAGTCAAACCCCTGCTGGGGACCTAGACTTGACGCGCGTCAACTGACAAGAATGTTAGTAAAAGAGCTGAAATAAGAGAATATAAAAGAAAAGGAAATGAGTATATTGTTAAAAACGGGTTAAAAACAGACAAGGTATTTTAGGGAGACGTATGTTCAATCCGGCTTACAGCCAGACTGAACGCGGGGCCAGACAAGTTTATGATATCAGGTGGTAAAGCATTCCAGTTCTAGATGATCTTGTAAGAGGGATGATATACTTTGGGAAAGGGATAGCCACCTGGTCATGCAAGATGTTGTGAAACATGACCAGGCGTTGGTCAATACGCCAAAGGTCAAGGCACCTCCATTGAAGGGAAGTCAACATGTCAGTGACACTTGACATAGGGCCAAAGTCATGTTTGACCCACCTAGCAGCCCTTCTCTGGACGGACTCTATCTGGTCAATGAGAGTTCCTGTGTAGGGGGACAAGACCGTGGAGTTGTACTCAAGCAGGGGCCTGACAAGTGTCTTGTATGCGGTTGACTTTAACCTTTCTGAGTGAACCTTGATATTTCGGCGTAGAAAACCAAGTGTTTGATTTGCCTTTGTTTTGATGTTGTTTATGTGTTTGTTCCATGTTAGATCATTTGATATTGTAATGCCAAGGTATTTTTAAGAGAAACAGGGGATTTAGAAGTGAAAACTGATTAAAATTGTTCATTTAGTACTGTTGCCTTGTCTTGATCTGATGTACACAGTTTATTGTGTTTTTTTTAGTGAGTCAATGCCAAAAGAATCTTGTTTTGAGTGTTTTAATAGTGAATATAGCTTTTTGGTGTTTGGTCTGGTTTGTGTTTGTTCATGTTCTTGAGTGATGTTGTTGTTAATGTTTAGTATATCTTCTAAGTAATTTTGATAGGCTAACTTAGTTTCTTTTCTACAGAGATTTTTAATGCTGAGATATTTTTCTCTAGATTTATTTGAGTTATGGCTCTTGTACTGCTTGTAGGCTTTGTTCCTTTTCCTGTATAGACGTTTGAGGTTGACCTTGATCCAAGGGAGTTTATTTTTGGAGGATGACCATTTTGATGGGATGAAAGTATTGACCCCTTCCTCAATTGAGCTGGAGATTGTTTGCCATAACTTTTCCACTGATTTGTTGGAATAACTTTTTGACCTGGTAAGAGAATCATGAAGGTTGGGCATATGTAACATAAGACCGTCCCAGTCTGCCTTATTATATAAGTGGATTTTACGGGGTTTTTGGAGCTTTATACGGGCGGAGGTATTTGTGTCGACCAGAACAGCATCGTGATCACTGATACCTGGGATTACGTTGGCTCTGTTTACAATGGAGGGGTTATTTGTCAGGAACAGATCTAAGATATGGTTTTCTCGGGTTGGGTCTTTGACTACTTGAGTAAGGTTATTATCAAAAAGAATGTTAATAAAATCTCTATAGTGTGACTGAAGTTTGCAGTCTTGGGTTGGAGTAATATTTGACCAATCAAGTTTTGGCATGTTGAAGTCCCCGCCTACCCATTCTGTTGCATTTGACTTTGTAGCCATGGATAGAGATTTATTGAACTCATCCAGGCTATAGGGGTCATTTTCTTTAGGTTTGTAGTAAGAACCAACAAGCAGTAGTTTGGAACCTTGCATTTCAATTTTGACCCATAGATTTTCACAATCAGTTTGGAGGTTGGTAGCTTCTTGTGCTATAATGCAGTTTTTAACAGCAATAAATACTCCTCCCCCAGCCTGCTTCTTCCTATCTCTTCTGTAGGGGGTGTATTTACCAAGGTCTGGGTGGAAAATTTCATTATCAAAATGTTTAGGTTTTAACCAAGACTCGGTTCCAATTATAATATCTGGGTTTGTTGATGTTACCTTATTTTCATACTCTAATTTTTTGTCCACAATAGATCTGCAGTTTACAATCAGGCTTATAGGCTATTTTAATTGTGAATTATACTTCACTTAGTCAATTGATCTGTAAGTCAAGTAGTTTGGGCTTATATATATTTTAAATGCAAATTAGATGTAAGTGTCTGACAATTTTGACACATAAGTGAAGAATAAGTCGCATATAAGTCAAAAATATATAATATATCATGGGGTTCGAGTATATACGTCACTTATATGTTACTTATAAGTTGAGCATATCTTTGACTTAGATAATATATGTTACTTATAAGTAATTTAATATAAGTCACTTATAAGTAACATATAAGTCACATGTAAGTCACATATATGTTGCTTGATGCCATAAAGCTAGAAAGAAAAAGTCGAGTTATTTTATTTCAAAAATGTTCATTGATTTGTATTCTTAGTCATATAAATGAACAAAATATAAAATTCAACATAAAAATAATTCAGTCGATTACACACTGAGTAGCTCATCCTACATCCACTATAACAAAAACAATTTTATTTCTGGCAGCAGGTTTTTGTAGGTATTGGTTTTCTTAGAATCAAACACTTTGTTTTTAGCTCACCTGACCACGAAGTGGTCATGGTCAGGTATAGTGATGGGGCTATGTCCGGTGTCCGTCGTCATGCGTCGTTCGTCGTCAACAATTGTTTGTCTCAAGGAAATACAGATCGAGTTCGAAGATGGGTTATCTCGGGTTAAAAACTAGGTCACAGGAGCTAAAAATAGAAAAAGCTTGTTAACACTCTAGAGGCTGCAGTTTTTATCCAAATATTCTGGAAATTTTTCAGGAAGGTTTGTTTGATGATATCTAGGTCAAGTTCGAAGATGGGTCATCTCCGGTCAAAAACTAGGTCACAGGAGCTAAAAATAGAAAAAGCTTGTTAACACTCTAGTGGCTGCAGTTTTCATCCAAACATTCTGGAAATTTGTCAGGAAGGTTGTTTTGATGATTTCTAGGTCAAGTTCGAAGATGGGTCATCTCAGGTCTCATGTCCAGTCAAAAACTAGGCCACAGGAGCTAAAAATAGAAAAATCTTTTTAACACTCTAGTGGCTGCAGTTTTGATCCAAATTTCCTGGAAATTGGTCAGGAAGGTTGTTTTGATGATTTCTAGGTCAAGTTTGAATATGGGTCGTGTCTGGTCAAAAATTAGGTCACATTGCCCAAATATGGAAAAATCTTTTTAACACTCTAGTGGCTGCAGTTTTGATCCAAATTTCCTGGAAATTGGTCAGGAAGGTTGTTTTGATGATTTCTAGGTCAAGTTTGAATATGGGTCGTGTCCGGTCAAAAATTAGGTCACATTGCCCAAATATGGAAAAATCTTTATAACACACTAGAGGTCACATGTTTGACTCAGTTGTCATCAAACTTGGCCATGATGCTTGTTTAAGACATTGCTTGGATGCGGTTGTGTCAGGTGAGCGATCCAGGGCCATCATGGCCCTCTTGTTTACAATTATTTTTTGCTGGAAGTCTGTCAGTGAGAAACTGTTTAAATAATAAATTTGTTTTAAACTTTTTTTGTTATTTAAACTACTATTTGCCCTTGACTTAGTAAAATTTTGCAATTTTCAACTTGTGTCACATGTAACTCAGTTGAGCACCTTGGTATTTTTGTCTGGATTTATTTAGTATTTTAGAGTTATTGCCCTTGACTTAGTAAAATTTTGCAATTTTCAACTTGTTTCGCATGTCACTCAAAAAGTATTTGACCTAGAGTCTTGAAACTTTACAGGAGTGTTGATCAGCATGTGTAGCTGTGCACCTGGGTATTTTCGTCTGGATATATTTAGTATTTTTAGAGTTATTGCCCTTGACTTAGAATTTTTTTGCAATTTTCAACTTGTGTCGCATGTAACTCAAAAAAGGATTTGACATAGAGTCATTAAACCTTATGGGAAGGTTGCTCAGCATATTTAGTTTTGCACCTGGGGTTTCGCTTGTGGATTTATCCAGTATTTGTAGAGTTATTTCCCTTGACTTAATAAAAACCGTTTCATTATGTTGTTATTTGTTCCTTGAGTGCTTGAGTTAGAATCAACCAACTTTACAGGAATAATGATCAACATCACTTAATTACAGGAATAATGATTCACATCACTGTTAAGCTATGTACCTGGAACTTTGCATGTGGATTTTTTTTCAGTTTTTGCCCTTGACTTACAGTAGTATAAATTTGCAATTTTCACCTTGTTCATGCATAGCTCAAAAAGTATTTCACTTGTAGGCCTGAAAGTTTACAAGAATGTTGGTCAGCATGTGTACTTATGCACCTTGGGGTTTGCTTGTGGATTTATTCAGCAGGCCTCGACATTAGCGGTGGTCCATTGGTCTGAGACCACCTGATTTTGGCAAGGACCGTCTAATTTAACAGGCAACTTGTTCGTTAGACCACTTGAATTTTCCAAATGGTGCAGGGCTCATCTGGGAGAATGGTTATTTGGTCGAAAAGCGTGTTCTATAATTGTTGTTTAAAACCATTTCTCCGATGTACAGGTATATGTTCATTCATCTCATTTGTGCAAAAAGATCTTAAGACAGACATAACCTTTTTATTAACTCTCTAACAGTGTAGTTAAAAAAGTAGAAAACTATTTTAATAATTAAAGTATAAAATTCATTCAAATGTCTCTAGTACTGCATTGTATCACTATGGGATATCGGATAAACACATGAATAATGGTGCAAACAAAGGCAAAGAAAGAAATTAAATATCAAGTAATCTTTGGCTACTTTTTGAAAGGATCAGAGATCCCTTTTTTTCTTATTTAAAGTACTTTAAAAGGTTATAAATACTTTGTCAAAAATAAATAAATTTCAACAAACAATAATAAATCTGTGAGGAAGATAAGCTCAATTATAATGTAGGAATTTTTCTGTTTATCATTAATATTTCATTGTTTCAAAGACAAGAATATAATAACTTAATAGTTAAATTAAAAATGTTAATCTATAAAAAGCAATTATTATTCTTATAAGATGTACCAGGAAACAGCAATGAGTAATTGAATAATTGAATTGTTATAAAACTAATAATAAATATGTATCTGTCACCAATTTTCTAAATCTGAAGTTTCCTTAAAAACAAATGAGTAAAAAAAAGATGGACCACCTGTGCTCAGAAAGGACCACCTGAATTTTGGATCCAGTGGTCCGGCATACCACCTGCTGAAAAAGTTAGTGTCAAGACCTGTTCAGTTTTTGTAAAGTTCTTGCCCTTTACTTAGTAAAAGATTTTTAGTTTTCAAAAAATATTTGACCTAGAGTCATAAGATTGACAGAACAGTGGCGCGGTGGGGTCACCTGTGTCCTATGGACACATTTCTAGTTGATGTCTGTTTCAGTCCTCTGCTTCTGTTTCCTCGGAGAACTTCTTGCTTAAAGGTAAAATTCATAATGAATTAAAGAAAGATGTAAGAATAAATTATTTACTATTGTATATGCAGTTATATTTCATATTTTCTAATATCATCAAATTCAAATGTTTAAACAGTATTTACTATTTATGCTTATGCATATTCAAAAATAAAGTTACACAGTATCTCATTGCAATACACAAGTCTTCAATGTTGTTTAAGAATTTCTAAAAGTCTCTATAAGAATTGATTAACTGCACTATATACAACAACATTTTGTTGGTTTTTTTTTCGGGAAAGATTAAGAATAGTTAACTATAGAGATTAAAAAATATACCTTTTCAGGCTCAATACTGCATATCATTATTCACCTGGCATCTTAAAGTAAGAACTGGTCCCACTAGCCTGCAATGTATGTAAAATGTAATATCAGATTTTTCCATTGAAAACAACAATAAAATGATAAATGATTATGATGACCCCGGCTTATTCAGCTGCACAAAACTACTGATTGTACTATTAAGTCCTAATTATTCAAATCATTCTTACAAATTAATTTGACTATTAAATCTTAGATTTAAGTCAATTACATTTATTAGTAAATCAAATGTATGAAGCTTAGAATATAATAACAATCTTGGATCTCTCAGGTTACAAATTTAAGTTTGCTACTATCTAACTATGATTGTTTATATAAAATCTGCATAAAACTAACTCAATGGTATTTACCTGATTCTGTGGTAAAACTTCTTGTCCCAGGTGATTCTGATTCTTGTCCTTATTTACCATTACTATACTTAAACATCTTAAACAATACAATATCTCTAAACAAGTAGATCATCTGTGATTTGCACCTACAACTGTGTTATTGAACTGGTCCAATATTATGTAAAACAGGGTAAATCCAAAAATCAAAGCACCTCATCATTTTTAATTTACTATCATTGATTGTAAAAAAATAAATCAAATAACTAATAGTTATGTAGATTTTAAAAATCATTACACATATTTGAAAAAGAAAATGCTATGTCCTTCTCTACAAATTCTGCATAGGAAATGTTATCTTAAATTACCCAAAATAATAACATGGAACAGATATTATTAAAGATAAAGATCTTATTGACCCTTTTAGAGAATTACATGGCGAAGTTAAAAAATTTACATGGAGGCGTACAAATCCTATACAACAGGGGAGATTAGATTTTTTTCTTTTATCAAATGATTTGTATCAGTATGTAAGAAAATGTGATATTGATGTGAGTTATAAATCAGATCATTCAATAATATTTTTAGATATTTGTTTTTCTCATATTTGTCATGGTAAAGGTTTGTGGAAATTTAACAATGCTTTATTACATGATATTGAATATTTAAAAATTATAAATGAAAAAATTGATGAAATAAAACTTCAATATTGTATACCAGTTTATAATATAGACTATATAATAGATACAAAAAATAAAGACATTAACTTTACAATCAATGATGAACTATTTTTAGAAACACTTTTGATGGAAATAAGAGGTAAAACTATTTCATATAGCTCCTATAAGGTTAAAGAGAAAAATAATTATGAAAAACAAATAATGGAGGAAATATCACTCATAGAACAAAATTTGACAATTGATAATAAAGACAGACTCTTACATTTACAAATTGAATTAAATCAGATAAGACATAATAAATAAAAAGTTCTATGATTAGGTCAAGGTCACAATGGATTGAATCTGGGGAAAAACCTTCTAATTTTTTTTTTGAATTTAGAAAAAAAATACTGTGCTGAAAAAAATATTCCTTTTTTAGAAATGGATAACGGAACATTTATTTATGATCAAAAAGATATACTCACACATACTTGTTGTTTTTTATGAAAATCTATATAAAAAAGTGAACTTGACTGATGAATCTGTTATTGATAGAGAATTAGGAAATTGTGATATTACTACTCTGACTCATGATGAAATGTTAAAACTAGAAGGTGTTCTTACATATGATGAAGTTTCTTTTACATTGAAAAATATGAAGAATGATAAAAGCCCAGGTTGCGATGGATTTACGGCTAACTTCTTTAAAACCTTTTGGAGTAGAATTGGTCATTTTGTTGTTAGAGCTATAAATTTTGCTTACAGAAATAATACTTTTGGTAGAAATCAAAAACTTGGTATAATAACATGTATTCCAAAAGAAAACAAGCAGAAACATTTTTTGAAAAATTGGAGACCAATAACTTTATTAAATGTAGTCTACAAATTAGCATCAGGTAGTATAGCAAACAGATTAAAAGGTGTTCTAGATATTTTAGTTTCAAAGGATCAGACAGGATTTATAAAGAATAGATATATAGGAGAAAATACTAGATTATTATATGACATAATGAAATTTACAGAAGATAATAATATACCAGGTTTAGCAATGATGATAGATTTTTGAAAAAGCATTTGATACTTTATCTTTTACATTTTATTGAGAAATGTCTTTCATCTTTTCATTTTGGTCCTATGCTTAAAAAATGGATATCTTTGTTTCTATATAATACTGAAACTTGTGTTTTTTTTAAATGGGTTTTTATCTAATTTTTTTAAAGTTGAACGAGGCTGTAGACAAGGCGATCCAATTTCCCCATATATCTTCATTTTTATGTGCAGAAATATTAGCTATAAAAATTAGGCAAAGTAAAGATATTAAAGGTATTACAATAGACGTTGAGGAATATAAAATTTCACAATTTGCAGATGATACATCACTTTTATTAGATGGTTCAGAAAAATCACTAAATGCTTCTTTAAACTTGTTAAATACATTTTCAGAGATTTCCGGATTAAAAATAAATTTTGACAAAACCAAAGTTATCTGGATAGGCTCTTTAAAACAAGTACTAGATCAATTAAGACAAGATGGAAACTTACATGGGGTGATACACAGTTTAAATTGTTAGGTTTAGTATTTGATGTTGATTTAGAAAAAATGATTAACTTAAACTTTAATGAAAAACTACAGAAAGTAAAAAATAGTATTAGCCACTGGAAAAGAGAATGTTAACTCCAATTGGAAAAATTACTGTTGTTAAATCAATATTGCTTCCATTATTTACCCATTGTTTTACAAGTTTACCAACACCTAGTACTGTTTATTTGAAGACATTGAATGACTTATTTTATGATTTTATATGGGAGGGCAAGGCAAAAATAAACAATCAGTAATTACTAAAACATACAAAGAAGGTGGTTTAAATATGACTGACATTAATAGTTATGTTCATAGTTTAAAGATAAAATGGTTTAGAAGGTGTGTTAGTAATAGCAGCAGTAAATGTTATAAGCTAGTGAATACATTGATATTGGTAAAGTTTTTAACACAGGTAAAATGTTTTGTAAAGTAATTATCAGTAAGATTAAAAATGCTTTCTGGATTGATGTTTTAAAGGCTTATATGATGTTTATTGAAAAACTTTCTATAGATAATATAGAGCAAGTATTACATATGCCACTTTTTTACAATCATAATTTTTTATCTGGGAACAGATATATTTTCATTCAGATATTGTATGATAAAGGCATCAGATTTGTGAAAGATATTATTAATGAACAGGGTAATTTTGTAGATTTGAATTATTTAGAACAGGTAACATGTAAACAAGTGAATTTTTTACAATATCATAGTTTAAAACAGGCAATTAAATTTTATATGCAAACGCTAAATATGATGATTTGTAATAACTTGTTTAATGTTCAATACCCTATTATAAGTTGTTATATAAAACCTATTTTTGTTTATGAATAGTAATAAGAAATATGTATATGAAACTTTAGTTAAGAATTCGGATTTACCAACAAGTCAAGAAAAGTGGAACACATGCTTTATAGGTGATCACATTAATTGGCATTTAATTTATAGTTATGTTTTCCATTGTACAAAAGATTCATATATTCAGTGGTTCCAAACAAGAATTATTCATAGAATTATTGATACAAATTCACTTCTGTTTAAAATGAAAATTGTGAACAATAAAATGTGTACTTTTTGTAATTGTTATGAAGAAAAACTTTTGCATTTGTTTTGGGAATGTCACAAGATTCAAGGCCTTTTTCAATATCTGAAAGATAACATACATAATTTTGAAGAATGTTTCAACTGTAAATCAGTTATTTTAGGTTCAGAATCTAAAGATTTTAAATATGACATTTTTTTTTGGAACTAAAAAGATATATTTATTTGTCAAAGAGAAAAAAGGTGCTACCACATGTATTGGTTTTAAAAAATAGTCTTTAATTAGCATGGAATATTTATAAAAGATACAAACTAAACACAGAAGATGAAAATAATAGATGGCAATTAGTAAGATCTTTAATTGAATAAACTACACTGACATACTGAATTAGATAAATAAATTTAACCTGATAATACCATTCTTAATTAATGTTCTTACATTGTACATATGGTTTTATTATAATGTACTTACTCGAGGGTATAAAGCTATGTGTGTTGAAATATCTTTATTAAAAATGTATAAAATTATACCGATTTCCCCCCATACATACACAATGTAGTATATTGACAAAAATTCATGGTAACTTATACCTCTTCATATATATATATATATTATATATATATATTTTTTTTTTTCAATAACTGGCAGCAAAAATATAGCTTTATACTCAAATTTAGTAATTATTTTAATATTATGATGTAATGAGGTACTATTATATCTATAAATATGTACTATTATATGTTAAATGTAAAAAAAATTGAAATAAATGGGGTTACCCAGTTGGGGCCTGAAAAAAAAAAAAAAAAAAAAAAAAAAAAACAAAAAAAAACATGGAAACAGTCTGATCTGTAGGAATGACCAGTGAGTAAAATAGATGGTGGGAAACGCAGGTGGTCAGTTTTATTAGATGCCGCATGCAGGTAGCATCTAGTAGATATGCATTTGTCCATAAAGCAATGGTGAAAAATTTAGACTTGATTTTGTGTGTTTATACCCCCAAAAACGAAGTTTGGGGGGGTATATAGGAGTCACCCAGTGGTCGGTCGGTTGGTCGGGCGGTCGGTCGGTCCAGACGTCCGTTGCATTTTCCTTGTCCGGAGCATAACTTGAAAACTAATGGTTGGAATTCAATATAACTACATACAATGGTCAAGCACATTGAGAGGAAGTGCAGTGCACAAGAACCATAACTCTATCTTGACTAATTACAGAGTTATTGTCCTTTGTTACTTTTCCTTGTCCGGGGCATAACTTGAAAACTACTGGTTGGAATTCAAAACAACTTCATACAATTGTCAAACACAATAAGGGGAAGCGCAGTGCACAAGAACCATAACTCTATCTAAAGTAATTACAGAGTTATTGCCCTTTGTTGCTTTTCCATTGCTTTTTTTTTGTCTGTTGCATTTTCCTTGTCCGGAGTATAACTTGAAGACTAATGGTTGGAATTCAATATAACTACATACAATGGTCAAGCACATTGAGAGGAAGTGCAGTGCGTAAGAAACATAACTCTATCTTGACTAATTACAGAGTTATTGCCCTTTGTTGCTTTTCCATTGCCTTCTTTTTTTTTGTCCGGACCATAACTTGAAGACTAATGGTTGGAATTCAATATAACTACATACAATGGTCAAGCACATTGAGAGGAAGTGCAGTGCATAAGAACCATAACTCTATCTAAAGTAATTACAGAGTTATTGCCCTTTATTACTTTTCCATTGCTTTCTTTTGTCCGGACCATAACTTGAAGACTAATTGTTGCAATTCATTATAACTTCATACAATGGTCCAGCACATT